CCCCAAAACCCCAAAACCCCAAAACCCCGTCTGACTTCTTCTTCTATTTAATTTAATAGATATGGTGAATTCTCAGTTTGTATTGATACTTTGAATTTATAACATTTCTCGCAAAGCTTGGCTACTAACTCATTCGTGTTATTGATGATGGTGTAATAATTAAGAATTATCAGTTTTTCTAATACATTACTTCCTTGTATTATTGAATAATATTAAGCATTTCTCATGCAAGAACTTGAAGAAAATAAGATTACTATTCATAGTAATGCTCATAGGATGTTGTTTGAAGGTATGTTTCTTATATTCATATAATTGAGCTATTTAGATAGCGAGACTGAAAAAATAGAAGGAAAAACTACTAACTCACCACTAGTTTTAAAGAATAGCGAAATCAATAAAAGAAAGCATCGAGCTCCTCAGCTTCAAAAAGGTCTTAAGACCTCAATAAGTACCTAACCCCTCCTCTCCGCTCAAAAACAATCTCCCTCGGCCAAAAATCACTAAAAACTCCCCGAAAAAACTCCCTTCCCCAAAATCCCCAAAACCCTTAAACCCCTCAAAATCCTCTCCTGGACTCTCGAAACCCCCTCACCCCTCATCCCACCACCCTTCCCCCCTCTAGCCCCCACTTCCCTCCCACCCTCCCTTCCCAGTCAAATCCCTCAGCCCACTTCCTCCAGCAGCCACAGCCAAATCCTTAACAAGGATTTGGCTCAACTGAGGCAGAAGAAAGATGAGCAGATGAAGAAGGGGCTGAAGAAGAGAGCTAAAGGGCAGAAGGAAGGGAGGAAGAGTGGGAGAGATTTGGGGGAAATAGAGAGGTTGAGGAAGGATGGAGGGATAGAGCAGAAGGTGTATGGGGGAGGGAGGAAGGAGGGAGAGGGAACAGAGGGGTGTAAGCAGCAGTGAGAGAAGTTTCCTGAGGTTGGAAATAGGGGGCAACGGAAGAGGATGGAAATTATGAAGGAGAAGAGAAAGCAGAATAAAGAAGAGGGGAATTCTGGGTTGATAATGAATCAGTATGGCAATACTTTACCACCTATCAAACTTGAAAAAAAATCAGAAGTTCCTGAGAGGGTCTCAGGTCAAGATCAGATAAATCCTCAAAAGAAGGTGAAATCCAAGCCTTTACCGAATAACAATGATCTTAAAGAGTTAGAGCCCTTATATGATCCTGTGAAGTAAAATTCAATTTAATTTCTAGAATCATCAAGAAGCAACAAGTAAAGCCACTTAAACTCAAAAATCAAAAGGAAGAGTCTAGGTCTCCAGTGCAGAATAATTTTTTAGAAACTAGAAGAGGTAGTTATAAGCCATATTCCTTAAAAGAGTATCGAGAGAAAGAAGTTGGTTCCAAAACCTACCGGATGGGAGGCCTAGGTGCTAACATCGGTTCTGAAGAATGGGAAAAACAGAACAGCAAGCTTCAAGTAATGAAACAGTTCTCCTCAAGAGTCAAGGTCTCCAACAAAACTACATTAGAGAGCATGCCTAAGAAGAGAAGAGAGCCAGTAAAAGAGGTTTCTAAGCTTGAAAAAGCACTTAAGTTTGCTAAAAATGTTCCCAAACCTAAACCAGCCATGCCCAAAATGCCTAAGGTTATTAAGGAGAAGAAGTCTATAGACCAATTGAAAGATGATTTCATTAATGGTCTTGATGCTGGTCCAGAGGAGCCAAAGCAATATGAGCTGGAAGAGCTCAACCAAAAACATGAAAATTTTGTGAATGAAGTCAATGAAATTAAAAAATTATTTATGTAAATCTTTCTATCTAATCCAAAGAAATAGGGGTTTTGGGGTTTTGGGGTTTTGGGG